TATAGATCGGGTGTCGAAACTAGCCCCGCACGAATGAACACAATTTGATTTAAAGAGAAGTAGCTGGGGGCTTTGCCAGACCTTCTATACATAACAAGTTCCAACTGAAGCAATACGGATTCGTCTTTAAGTATTTCTATTTCAACAAAGCAGGGATGGCATCCAGTTTGTGCAGCATGAAAGACTGAAATAAAGCCATGGTTTTCATGTTATCTCATTGAAGATCGGCGTGGCACCTCCAAGCTGGTCTGTACACTTATCTATGTATGTATCAACATCCTCTATAGACGCTTAGCCCGTTCGGGATAGTACCGGGGAAACCCCCCAAGTTTGGAATGTGGGACACTGCTGACTCATGACATGCCCCCCGAGGTCGGCCCGGGCAGGAGAAGAGAAAATTTAATTCTGTGGGGCAGCACAACGACCGAAGAAACACAACTGCCATGGAATATTTCCCCCTCTCTCTCTCTCTCTTGGGGTGGTGTTCATTTCTAGTGATGACCATTCTCTAAAATTCACTCCTTCTTTTACGTGATTTGGTTTTGGTAAGTCGCATGGTTTTATTGTTCTTAGCTTTCAGCATATTCAAAGCTTCCCCCCTCTGTCTCTTATGATGAATTATGGTTTTTTTTTATAGATGTTAGACTTCCTAAACAATTGTTGCGGAGAAACACCTGGACTGATTTGAGACACTGCAATCTTGCTATACCTGTGAATGCAATGGATGAACACTGGTACTAATTCTCTTCGTCCATTCCAGAAAACCTACCCTCCGTCAGTATGTGTGGTATTATTGCGCTGATCCAGGCGAACCCCTCATCTGCGGCCGCCGTGGATCTCCACGAGGCACTTTACCTTCTCCAACGTGAGTTCCGGCCAGAATATATACACCTGCGACTGCGAGACTAAAGGTTTTGGTATCACAGATCGTGGTCAGGATGCAGCCGGTATTGCAACATGCGCATCCGGCGGTCGGATCTACCAACTTAAGGCCAACGGCATGGCTGCCAAGGTCTTCCAGGAAGGTGCTAAGGTGGCCAACCTTCCTGGCTCCATGGGAATTGGCCATTTGCGGTATCCAACTGCAGGATCTAGTGCCAACGCTGAGGCCCAGCCCTTCTACGTGAACAGCCCTTACGGTATCTGCTTTGCGCACAACGGTAACCTGATCAATGCCGGGGACCTCAAGAAGCATCTTGACCTTGAAGCCCACCGTCATATCAATACCGACAGTGACAGCGAGCTGATGCTTAACGTCTTCGCCGATGAGCTAAGTGAAACCAAGAAGGCCCGTGTCAACCACGAGGACCTCTTTGCCAGCTTAACTCGCATGTACAAGCGCTGCGAGGGTGGATGGGCCTGCACTGCTATGCTCGCTGGTAAGTTATGAATCATTCGTGGTGTGCTCTAGTCAATGGTACTGACTCGTCATCTAGGCTTTGGTATCTTGGGTTTCCGTGACTCATACGGTATCCGCCCCCTCATTCTGGGCTCCCGCGAGTCCCTGGATGGACCTGGCATGGACTACATGATGTCTTCTGAATCAGTAGCTCTGGACCAACTTGGCTTCACCAACCACCGTGACATTCAGCCTGGCGAGGCGGTCATCATCGCTAAGGGTGGTGAACCGGTCTTCCGCCAGGTGGCTCCCAAGAAGGCCTATGCCCCGGATATCTTCGAGTATGTCTACTTCGCTCGTCCTGACTCCGTCATGGATGGCATCAGTGTGTACCGTAGCCGGCAACGCATGGGTGACCGTCTCGGTGCACGGGTCCTCGATGTTCTGGGTCCCGAGATCGTCAAGGATATTGACGTCGTCATTCCCATTCCTGAAACAGCGACTACGTCCGCGACCAATGTCGCACTCTACCTTAACAAGCCTTACTGCCACGGTTTCGTCAAGAACCGTTACGTCTTCCGCACTTTTATCATGCCGGAACAAAAGACACGGCAAAGGGGTGTCCGCCGCAAGCTCAATGCCATGAAGGCTGAGTTCAAGGACCGCAATGTCCTGCTTGTCGATGACAGTATCGTGCGTGGTACTACCAGTCGCGAAATCGTCAACATGGCCCGGGAAGCCGGCGCTAAGAAAGTCTATCTTGCCAGCTGCGCACCGGAGATCACACATGCTCACATCTACGGTATCGATCTTGCCTCTCCTCAGGAGTTGGTTGCACACAACCGGAACTCAGAGGCCATCGCTAAGCACATTGGTGCGGAAGCGGTTGTCTTCCAAACTCTACCTGATCTGAAAGACGCCTGTGCCGAGGTTGCCCGCGAGAATGGGCAGGAAGAGCCCACAAACTTCGAGGTCGGTGTCTTCTGCGGTAGCTACATTACCCCCGTTTCATCCGGTTACTTCGAGCATCTGGAGTCCGTCCGTGGCGAAGGCCGCAAGATCAAGGCTCTTGACAAGGCCAAGGAGGCTGTCACCAATGGGTTTGCCAATATGACCGACTTCCAAATTGCCGCCCACGGAGTCACTATGGACACCAACGGCAAGATCATCCCCGCCATTGAGAACGAGTCGGCAGCGATTGGTGCCGCCAAGAAGGCCAGCAACACCGAAGACCAGCATAACCCGAAGGTCTCGGACCGCATGGACATCAGTATCCACAACCAGGCTGACCATGAGGCATGATTACGAGACATCTGATTTTTAAACATTTTTTAGAATTTTTTTTTCCCTCCACCATTTTGGTAATTTTGCATTGGGTGTCTGGGCGTTTGTTTGAGGGAGCATATGTGCTGAGTGGCTCAGCCACGATTTGCTGCTATATGATGTGGAAACGATGTGGAAATGCATTGAAAATACCAATACCCGGTGTCTTGAGATACTCCTTGTCAATAATACTTGATGAAACTAAAATAAATGCAATATTCCAATATTGTTGAAATGCTGTTTTTTCATTTTGGCCATTGTCCCAAAGAGGCAGGTCACGTGTCCGTGTCATTGGAACCTCCATGATGCGCATTCCAAGCTTGATGGTTCAAATGAACTGATACACCTCGATATATCCTGTATCAGTTATCGGTTCTTGTACACGTTGCTTCCCCGAAAACGTTGAAAGAACTTGGTGCTTGCTGCAGGTCCTTTGGCCTGACCTTCTCTACCATGGAACGCCGCATTACTCGCTCTGCAGCACGGGCTGCCGCTGCATTGATTGCAGGGGAAGAAAACAGCCCTCCTGTAACCCAAGCACCGAACACAACTAATGTGAACAAACGAAAGCGTCTCAGTCCCACTGGCAATTCCAATACACCCAATACTTTGAATACACCCAAAATTAACTCAAGCACCAAGCTGAAAACCTCCAATGATCCCAATCCCGCAATTAAGAAAGAGAAGCCAGTTCCACGCCTGGACTTGTTCGATGAAGTCCCTCACAACCTAGGGTCTATGCCGGTCCCATTGTCCATAGCAACAGACCCCACAGTCTCCTCGATTGCTGGATCTGACAAGGAAAGCCAAACTTTGAATGGCAAACAAGTCACCGATCTAGCTACTGAGCTACAAGGCACTGTGAACAAAGCTACAACCAAGTTGAAGAAAGAAACCAAGGTTCAAACTACCCCAACCGGCCGCAAGCCAAAGAAAAATACTTACGGCTTGACACCTGGTATCTCTCCTTTCCCAGAATTGGTTCGACCAACCGCTGAGGAGTGTGAGGCTGTCAATCAACTGTTGTCAAGCGTGCATGGCGAAGTCACTGTTCCGGCAACCATTCCCGAACCCTCCCTGACAGTCACGGGGTGTGGTGAGGTCCCATCCGTTCTAGATGCTTTGATTCGCACTCTTCTCAGCGGTGCCACCACGGGCAACAATGCCGCAAAGGCCTTTGGCGGGCTTGTGCAAAGATTCGGCATTCTTTCAGAAGGCATCGGCAAGGGAAGTGTGAACTGGGATGCCGTACGACAGGCCACTGTGAAAGACGTGTTTGAAGCGATCAAAAGTGGTGGATTGGCCGACATCAAAAGCAAGAACCTCAAGGCGATTCTCGACATAGTCCACAAAGACAACCAGGCGCGTCGAGCTTCATTATTAGATTCTGAGTCCAAGAACGACTCAGCGTCCAAGCTAGTACCTGAAAGAGCTGAAAAGGACAAGCAATACGAGATTGCCTGCGCAGATCAGAACTTTCTCTCCCTCAACCACCTTCACAATCTCACCACAGAAGAAGCCATGACCGATCTGATCAAGTACCCCGGAATCGGACCGAAGACCGCCGCCTGCGTGATATTGTTCTGCCTCCAGCGACCCTGTTTTGCCGTTGACACACACATCTTCCGGCTCTGCCGCTGGCTAGGATGGATTCCTGCCCGTGCAAACGAAGTAACTGCCTTCAGCCACCTGGAAGTGCGCATCCCCGACCACTTGAAGTATTCGCTCCACCAGCTGTTCATCCGGCATGGGAAGACCTGCCCCCGGTGCCGAGCTGCTACCGGCCAGTCCAGTGCTGGCTGGGAGGACGGCTGTGTCATTGATCACCTGTTAACTCGCGACGGGAAGCGCAAGGGCAACGGTCCGACTGTAGTTTCTAAGAAGAAAGCGGCTTCTAAGCGGGTGGCTAGTAAGCGTAAGAGAACGAGCAAGGATTCCGAGGAGGAGACTGAGGAAAGCGAGAGTTCGATTCTCGACGAAACGAGTGACGAGGGAATGCATTCATGACAACGAAATTATGTGGAATGAAGGTGGAATCTTTACGAAATCAGGATTGATCACATCGGTCTATGACGATGAATGGCTCAAGCACGATATCTATACTTTATATTATTATCTATTTACCGTGTTGCTATTCCTCAATACAAGTGTATTATTATTGCCATCAACTCCATAAAACAAACCTGATGTTGGATCGCTGGTCTATATTCCAAGGTTGTATGTACTATGGCAAGACCAGTACCCCTTATCGTCTTATCGTAGACACGAAAAGTCTCCAAAAACTCCCTTTACTCCCCCAACAACACTTTCCAGTTGTCCAACTACACCAATTCCCGCCATGGATTGTCTGGCGTCCTACATTCCGCTCTCGCTGCGCACTCTTCTGGAGGCCTACGCGCCTCCCGGGTCTACAGAGTACGCCCCGTACATCGGAGTCGCGTTGACCTCCCTTGCCGCCGTATACGTGGGGTACCTCTACCTCCAGAGTTGGAGAGAGGCAGCGGTCGTTTTCAATGTCCCTGTCCCACCAGAAGTGCGCAACAGTGGGTCGATCAAGACATGGGATGAGGTTCAGGGGCAGCAGAAAATGGTGTTGCAGGATCAAGCTCGGGGAGTAAGTTGACAATCCTGGTTTTTGACTTGGGATCCTTTTCTTGCGGCTTCTTTCTCCTGTGATTAAGCTAACTGCTTATCTACTATACAGAAATGGAACCATCAATTGATTATGAGCTACTGTCCTGCCGATGGGAGGGTGCTCGGTAACGGAATCAAGCCCGCCACGGTCGAAGATGTCAACAAGGTCGTTCGGGTTGCGAAAGCTGCTCAGCCAGAGTGGTCAAAGACTACCTTTGCGGAGCGCAGAAAGGTTCTCCGGACACTGTTGAAGTATGTGAATTGGCAAATTCGCTCCGCCCTATGAAGCATTGGACGTGCTTTGCCTACGGCACCCCATGAGGCTTGTTTAACTAACATCTCACAGATATGTCTTAGACCACCAAGACGACCTCGTTACCGCATGCTGTCTCGATTCGGGTAAAACAAAAGTTGACGGCTCATTCGGCGAGATCCTTGTGACAGTGGAGAAGCTCAAGTGGACAATCGACCATGGCGAGAAAGCACTACTACCAGAGCGGCGGCCGACCAACTTCCTGATGATGTACAAGAAGAACATGGTCACGTACGAACCGTTGGGTGTAGTGGGTGCCTGTGTGTCCTGGAACTACCCGTTACACAACTTCATCGGACCGATCATCAGCGCGCTGTTTACCGGTAACGCAGTGGTTGTCAAACCGTCTGAGCAGACCGCATGGTCCGCAGTCTACTTCCTCGAGATGGTGCGCGGTGCGCTCTCTAGCTGTGGTCACTCGCGCGATCTGGTGCAGACAATAGTCTGTCTACCCAATGTTGCCGATGCATTCACCTCGCACCCTGATATCGCGCATCTAACTTTTATTGGATCCCGACCTGTGGCCCACCACGTCTGCGCATCAGCAGCCAAGTCACTCATCCCTGTGTGTGTCGAGCTGGGTGGCAAAGACCCCGCCGTCGTCCTGAGACGACTCCCGCACTCTCCGCAATATCTCCTCTATCGCGTCTCTCCTCATGCGCGGTGTCTTCCAATCATCCGGCCAGAACTGCATTGGCGTCGAGCGTATCATCGCACTCCCCAATGCATACGAACGACTCATCGAAATTGTAACTCCACGTATTCGAAATCTCCACCTCGGCTCTGTCCTCCTCGACACCGCAACCCCAGACGTTGGTGCTATGATTTCACCTGCATCATTCGCCAACCTCGAGACACTCATCAAGGAAGCTGTGCAACAAGGCGCACGCCTCCTCGCTGGCGGCACCGAACACAAACACCCAGTCCACCAACATGGGCACTACTTCACACCAACTCTGCTAGTAGACGTGACACGCGACATGCGGATCGCGCAAACAGAGCTCTTCGCCCCGATCTTCCTCATGATGCGCGCCGAGTCCGTATCCGACGCAATCGCCATCTCCAACTCAACGCCGTATGCACTAGGCGCCAGCGTCTTCGGACACCGACAAGCGGACGTGCAAGCCTGCGTGTCGAAAATCTCCTCCGGAATGGTAGCGGTCAACGACTTCGGCGCCTTTTACGCTGTGCAGCTGCCGTTCGGCGGCGTGCGCGGATCCGGATATGGCCGGTTCGCGGGCGATGAGGGGCTACGCGGTCTATGCAATATTAAGTCAATTTGCGTTGATCGCTTCCCTACTTTGATTGGCACTGGTATCCCGCCGCGCCTGGACTATCCTATCCAGAACCGGGAGAACGCGGCGGATGCTAAGGGTGGAATTGCGGCTTGGGAGATGTGTAAGGGCGTTGTTGAGACGGGATATCAGTTGACGCTGGGTGGGCGTATTGCTGGTATTTTGCGGTTGTTGAGGAATATGTGATAGGCTGTCTCTTTGGGAAGTCAGTCAAAAAGCCTCGTTACATATTGATATTTTGTACTATACATAGTCCATCTTGCTGTTGATAATATCTCTAGCTGTGGGAACATTTAATTCAAAGTAAATTATTCTTTCAGGTCTATATGCTGGACTCTCTTTATGTTACATTATATTAAATCTAAAAAAATCCGGACATATCCCTACCAACAAAGTCTCATAAGACTACTAGGGACAATCTCATGGAGGAAGAGAAGGACCGAACTTCTTCAGCCAGTGATCCTCGGTCCGGAAGGAACTCTCCGTCATCCAATTTCCGAATGGTTGACGGAAGGGATCAAGAACCTCTTCGACAAAACGGCAGCCCTCAAGGTCCAGGATATCCAACTGACCATTACAGAACAGCTGACCAGCCGGGAAATCATGAGCATACTCAACCTGCGCAGGGAGCCGCAGCACGAAATTCGACAACCAGCGCGCAAACTTGCCATTCATCTGGTTATAAGTATTCGGATTCTTCCTCTCAAGTTCCATATTATCGACAGCCCATTTCGTGATCTCGGATGACCAGCTAGGCAAAGACTCCGCACTAGCACGGAGGAGAGCCTCAAAGAAAGCCAAGTTGAGATGTGGCTTGTCACGGCCGGTGCGGGTAACAGCGAGGAAGTGTTCGGATGGGATCGTATAGTATACGCCGCGGCCTTGGTTCTCTGATCTATAGCGGAAGAGAAACTCGTCAATTTTGAGGAGGGAAATCATGGCGTTGAAGTTCTGGTGACGGATTGCATTCTGGATTCCTTCGTTCAGGGCCTTGCGGTCGATTTCGGTCAGGGTCGAGGGCGACAAGGAGCTGTTTGGTGGGGTCCAATTGCACGAGGTCATACGCAGCATCTCCAGAAAAGCAACGTCTTCTGGAAGGAAACCGTTGCTGCGGCCTCGGAGAAGATGGGGTGGGAATTTGCACAGGTCCAGTGCAGGGATATTGGTAGTCAATCCAATATCCACACAATGGAGCTCGGTGGTGACCATTGGAATGACATGGAGCTTATATTCGTGAGTGTCTTTCAGTGCGTTCGGGGCCATCTTGAAGAACTCTGGGGGCATGTGAGCGAGTTCCTTCATTGGCCCGCCCGTGCCGTGGAAGATGCGGACGCTGTCGTCCTTGCGTGCCAGTAACTTTTCAAGAGCAACCTGCTCCTCTTTCTCCATCTTCATACCGGCGTTGATCCAGCGACGGTAGATAGTTAGGATCTGCATTGTCGGAATCTGTTCGCGCACGCGGTCCACGGTACACCACTTGCACTTGAAGACGGCTTCCTGTAATCGGGCACGCTCATCCAATTTGAGAGGAACATAGTCAAGCGGGACCATCATACGGTCGATAACCTTGCTACGGGGGTGTTCGAGCGCATCATTCCAGAACGCAAGGAGGATGAGAGCGCGGTAGATGTGTTCACCCGAGAGGGCACGGGATAGGAACGGCGAAGCTCGTGGGAAGTTTAAATTGAGCGAGTGCAGGAAGATCTGCTCGATGATCTCGACGGGGAGGGCTTCAAGGAGGGACAACATCCTGCGTGGAGTATGCGGGCGCGAGATTCCGGGTCTGGGCGAATTAGAAGGACGGTCGTAGGGGCTTGACCTCGACCGAGAGGACCGAGAGGACCGAGAAGAGCTGCTCCGCATCGGCTTCTTGAAGATGCGACCTGGTCGGCGCTTCGATTTGGGGACAGCGGAAGGGTGTGAGCTTGCAGAGTTAGGCAGAGCAAGCTTTGTCCGCGTCACGGTTTCATCTTCGCCTTTTGCTGAGCTCATGGAGGAATTGAACTTTTTTCACTATCTGGGGTATATCAATCTGTGAGCTTGAATCATTTCTGAGTCGTGTATTATTACTATTCAATGTTGTAGTATGTTGTACTTCGCATATCAACTATGCAGGTATACAACGTCGCAGGCCAACTCCGAGCCGATTGGCGGAAAAGAGTCCGAGAGGCAATGACTTGGCATTAGGGCTTGGCATTGAAGGGCATAAAGGTCACATGATGACACATGAACTTGATTTCACCCCTCTCTATTGCTAAATTGGGTCTAGCTTATTAACAAATGACGTCAAGGATTATCAGTGGAAAAAAGCTATGCTGAGCAACAAGAAAGATCGTTCAAAAGGGTTCAACATGGCTAAATTGAAAATTAAAACTGGAGCTATTCTTAAACACTTGACGATCCGTTTAGAATCCACCAATTGCTCCACCGAGCCTATGTTGTAAACAGATTATGTGCTTTCGAATACAGCTGAAATCAAGGAATGGCCCGTCTGTGTCGTGATGACGGAATGATCGGTTGTACCTCGTGTATCCATTTAGCCATGTGCTCCATACAAAACTCACAGCTGCTCAACTTTGATCTTCCTCTTTCATTTTTCATCAGACCTTGGAATCCTATCATAGCTTGTCCAACGACGTCATTGGCGTCTGCACCTTGTCAATTCTAACGCCTCGCAAGACAAGCTTAACTGCACGAACTTGTCTATCTATCGCCTCTTTTGGACACCACTTACGTATCTGAACAAGAAACGTTTGTCCTTGTCTTAGGCGATCGTCATTACCATTCTTTATTTAAACCATCTTCCCATCTACTTCATTATCTTCAACATGCACCCTTTCAGTGATCCAACTGTCCATACACACGCTTCCTCCAGCTCAGAGTCTACTCTCACCTCCAAACCGAAATAAACCAATACCTCGATACAAAAAGAAAAGCCCCAAGAAAAGCTCTTCATCTTCAATATGGGTGCTGTCGTCTCTTGCGTATGTGAAGCCCATCTGCTTTCTATTAAAATATCAACTAACATACCTGCCTCTAGATCCAAAGCGTCTTCCGCGCTATCGGTAGCTGCCTCATGGCTATCGTCAATGCCATCGGTTCCGTTTGTCATGCCATCATCAGTGGTGTGGTCACAGTGATCGATGTTATCATCTCCTGCCTGACTTGTGGTTACTGTGGAAAACGCAGGCGGGGTCGTCGATCAGCAGTCTGATAGGAAACAAGCTATCATGTCTGTGCACACATATTGAGTCAATGGGGATAGAAGGCCTGGCTATGGGTTACGATTGTTATGCCGGCGCGAATTTTCTTTTGTCATTACATCTTCCTGGAGAATATACCCCGTGGCGCAGTTTCTAATTGTGAATCGTGAATCATATTTTGAGATATGAAATACTTTACATCGACATGTATTGTTTCTGTTCTGTAGGAGATGGACATACGTAGAAGAATGTATATACACATAGTGGGTCTGGAGTATAACCATGAACTTGTAGATATATGACTGAATATACACAGTCCTATTCAAGAAGCAATTATATCAAGGCCCGTCTTTCGGCGCGGATGACTCAACATATCGCAACAAGTCCTGTTTTGCTTCTGCGGGCATATCATCCCAACGCTCATTCAAAATAACATTCGCAAATGGATCCCCAGGCCCACTCCCACAGCGCCGGACGAGGGAATAATGGGAATGTTGTAGCGGCCAGCGAGCAGGGACGCGACAATTTGCAGCCCGGAATGATATACGCAGCAAGCGACGGAAAGGCTCGATCTTGCGCGTTCGAATCAGACGATATGTGATCTCAGAGGATCGGTCCGGCCTAGCCTCATCCTCGTCCAGGTAGAAGTCCGCAGAGAGCAGCTGCAAGAACTCAAACTGCGCATCTGACCAGGGCGAGCGCAAGACCTTATCCGGAATGCGCCCAGGTCCAATAGCCACTGAGCACGGCAGCCGGAAGATGTCGTTCTCGTGGTATATCTCGTTTGGCTTGCGAATCTGGACAGCGCCAAAATGGAACCATATTGCCACTTTGCGGTCGACCGTGCGGGACGATGGGTTCCGTGAGGCTTCCTCTAGCTGTGCGGGGATGATTAGATCCCCTTTCCCACGCCGGCCGAGTACGGCCCAGTCGCAGGCTTCTAGGTTTTCAAAGTGTGGATCCAAATTTGACAGCACTGCTCGGTCGTCCGGATGGAAGACCAGGCCGGCACATTTGCGTCGGATGGCATGGGCAACGTACTCACGCTGGCATCTCCGGAGCAAGGGAAATGTGCACCACCGACATGCCAGCAGGTCGGTCTGTAATTGTTGGCGTTCTTTCCAGGACAGGGCCCAGAAGTCCAAAGGTGGGGGTAGGAAGTCCGGGGTAAAGAAACCCTCTCGCGAGCCTGAATTGGGACTGCTGAATGCAAGCCGAATGAGCCAGGTATAGAGTAATGGGGTGGACAGTGCTTGGCTGAGACGTGGTGAGGCACGAGGGAGATTCACTTCAAGACTATGGAGAAAGATCAACTGAAGGATTTCCACAGGCAGTGACTCAAGGCGCGAGCACGGGTGGTCGGCCAACGGATCGGAGGGGCCTGGGCCCATTTGCAACAGTGCGTCTAAAGGTGATGTGTTTTTATATAACTTGTATAGCTTGCTCGTAGCAAGTCGACGATCACATGTAAATCACACAGTGTGTTTATAGTTGTAAATGGCCAGGGAGGAGGAAGAGCAGAGACGGATATGGGTTATCTCAATGGAAAACACAGTCCATATGGTATCGACTGCAGACTTCGCATAATGATGTCCCATATAGCCCCTCGTGACTTGTAAGAGAGGCACTTGACAGCGCTTCCAACGCAGTCTCCAATGGAAAGAAATGAAAGGAAAAAGCCCGGCCCATTGCTGAGGGGTAGGGGAAGTGGGTAAACTGAGGTGAGTTGCGTGTCTTGGCAAGGCCAGCTTGGGAGCTCCTCATCAAGCGAGATTATGTATTTGGCTTGATCGTCTTTACATCTAAACGGGTTGGGATATATTACTTGGTATTTCTTTGTCGGATTTTCAAAAAGAAACAATTCTTGCGTGGTACTCCACTATATATCCTGACTCGATCCCCATGTCCAGAGAGCTTGTCTGGAGATATATATCGGGCATACCAGATGTTCATTGGCCTTAATTTTCCCTAACCACAGCCCAATTTCGATTATTTGGTTGAATGTATTGCCGAGAGAAAGTACAAGACTACAGTAGAATCTACATTTGTATTGATGAACGCAGAAACGACAAATGTATTGTTTCTATACACATCCCAACTGCCCCACCACACTATCGGAGGTATCTGACCACACACTGGCTGAATAGCCATATCCTTGGCTCCAAAAGTCATGATCACGTAGTGTGATGGAGCGAGGAATAAAAAGGCGGATTTGAGGCCACAAGAGTCCACGCTTAGACGGCGGACAGATCGCCGAAGCGCTCCTACAAAAAGGAATCGTATAAGTACCGAAGCAGACGCAGTGAGCTTGGCAAGACAGTCAACACATACCTTGTAGCCAGGGGGCATCCACTTGCCCTTGGAGACGAGGGAAGCGGTCTTCTCGTCGATCTCGGGCTGGGCGGAGGCAACCTCGTCCTAAAAAGCAGTCATGTAAGTAACGATTCCAACTCCGCGGTCTGCAGCAGCTAATACGTACGACAGTGAGGTCCTCGAAGGGACGGGCGGTCTCGATGTTCTCCAGGGTCTTCTGCAGGTTCTGCAGCTCGGCCTCAACCTTACCCTTGGTAGCCTCAGCGTTCTGAACAGCCTGGGCCTCGAAGGCGTCGATGGCCTTCAGCTGGCGGTTGACATCGTAGGTAGCGGGCTTGAAGGTCTTGAAGTGGTTCTCGAGCTCGTCGACGATGGCCTTGTTCTTCAGGATGCCGCGGTAGTGGCTGAAGTCAACGGTCTGGTCCTGCTCAGACAGGACCTGGACCTTGCGGCGAGCATCGTCGTTGCGCTTCTTGAAAGCTTGGAGGGAGGCGGCGGTCTGGCCGCGGAGGCCGAGGGAGGTCGACACCTTGGCCCAGTCGATCTTGAGAGCGGCGCTGCGCTGTTTTCGGGTGAAGGGAGTTAGCGGGAGTCTTCCGGGCAGGTCGACAAGGGTTTGTCATAACTAGGATCAGAAGCAGAACATACAGCAGCCATTGTGACGGGTATGATAGAGGGTTGGGGGTGGAGAGAAGAGAGGGGAGATCAATGTGCAGGGAGGTGCCGAACGAGGAGCGACCCGGAAGGTTTGGATTGTTCGGATCACGTGACATCCATTCCGAAATCCACCGTGGATTATACAGCCACGAGACAAATCTATAGAGCGATCGTGTTGATTCTTGTAAATAACTTATGGACTGGATTTAATTCCATATCATTACGAAGCTTATATATTGACTGGTTGACTCAACCACTGGGTTCAATTGTTTTTTGGGCTAAATTGTGTACACTATGGGCGCCAACATGCCAGATATCTCGATCTGGTATCATAACCCAAGTCCCTCATAGAACCTTAAATACGGTCACTCATTATATGCTGAGAGCCATGATAGAGTTAACGATATCGTTGTCGTTCTCCCGGAGAGCCTTGACGGCCTTCTTGCGGGAGACGTTTGCTTGTGCCATAACCAGCTCGATATCCTTGGACTCAAGGTTGGACTCGTCAACCTCCTCACCATCATCCTCCTCATCCTCCTTCTTATCCTCAGCCTCGGGGGCCTTGGCCTTGCCGAGAACCTCCTCCTCGTGGTCGTGACCGGCGTGGTCGCCAGTGGCCTCGGAGGCAGCGAGCTGCTGGGCGGCGGAAGCCTGGGCCTGGGAGTTCAGGTCCTCAATCTTGGCCTCACCGAAGATGCTAGAAGTGTGTCAGTAAATGTCGTCCACATAAGAGTGGCTGCAATTGGGTTCCACATACATCCAGCAGTTGCTGTTAGGGGAACGGTAAACCTCGGGCTGGTTGACAACGAAGAGGATCTTAAATTCCAGCAAGTTAGCATCTCCACATTGAGAATATATCAAGAAAGTTTATCCCGTTGGCAGCCAGTGTTGCGGTTGATATCCGCAATTACATTGCACTTGGCGGGGTAGAAATTCTCATGACGGTCGCATCGGGATCACATACGTTCTTGGGGCGGCGGAGAGTGACACGGGTGATGCCAGGGACGAGCTTCAGGCCGAGCTTGCCAATGGCCTTGCGGGCCTTCTTCTCACCACGGGAGTGGACAGCGACGGAGGCACCGGCAGGAATGTTGGGCTCATCGCCAGCCTCGGAGCCAGACTCAGAGGAGCTCTCCTCGACGGTCTTGGAGACCTCGTCATCGTGGATTTCTTCAACGCGGGGATCAGCCATTTTTGCGATGTAAAGGTGCCTAAAAGGAATCCAAATAAAATCGTTGATTAGTTGGGTTGTTTCGTTCGGCAATGGGTGTCAGGGCTGGTTGAATGGTGTGAGAGCGGGCATAGTGGGAGAGATTGGAGAGAGATTGGTCAACCCCCCACGAATCGCACAACACTCGGGAAAGGGCGGAATTTGATGTTGAAAAGGCGAGAATTCAGTCGACTAGATACTCATACATACCTGAGAGGTAAATATGAAGCTGTTGTGAGTGGGGATGGATTTTGTTGAAGTTGAAGGTGCGTAGCTGTGCGCCAGACCGAACCCGAAAATCATTAGCGAGCGCCCACCCCCAGACTGCCCGCCTTGCACACATTGCCCTATATGGAACTACATCACCAATTCTAAACTAGATTGGCTAATAATTTATAGATCTCATCTAGATCAAAATATATAAATATAAATAATACAGTTAATACAGTTTCCAGGTCATTATTTACGTATCTGCTCGTTCTATTCTTTTTGTAGAGCCAGATATTCAATATATTCCCGTTTTGGGGGATATAAAAATGAGTCCAGAGCCGGAGGAAAACCAAATGACAAAAGGCCCCTTTGCCGGGATATCAAGGATTTTGAATCATTTTTGCTGTTCATTGATAATGCATACAGCGATTTTGCCAGAGTATTACCAGCAACGGAAACCCTTCCAGGACACCTCCTTCAAACCCATGCACCGAAACCTCGTAATCATTTATGACTTGTTGGCAGCGCGAGCCTTGGCGTGGGACTTCTGGACCTCGTAGCGAGCCTGGAATTGAATGTGTTAGTTGAACTGTTTGTAATTCCCCAGATTATCCGATCGGGGTGGGCCCAGGCGCATTATGCCAGAACGAATCCACCTTCCGATATTTCGACGTACCTGCTTGCGGAGGCGCAGAACCTTGAAGCGCTCGAAGTCGGACAGGTTCTTGCGGCGCTCGGAGCGCTCGGAGCGCTGAGCGAAGGAGCTCTTGGCCCACTTGCCATCAATCTCGTTCTTAGCCCAAAGCTTCTTCACGGGACCGGTACCGGCAGCACGGGGGAGCTGGGGAATGGTGAAGTGAGTGAGGGTGGCGTGGGCGAGAGGGAGAACGTGACGGGGCACGATCTTCTGCTCCTCGGTGGAGGGACCGTCGACCAGGACCTGAACAAACAATCGCAAGTCAATACAACATTTCCAACTTAAACATCTCCGAAAATCCGATTCTCCAAATTCGACACGATTTCCGGATTCAAAGGGCGATTTCACATACACGGCGGTGGTCCACGATCTCAACGATGGCAGCAAGCTTGCCTTCGAAGGGGCCGCTGCGGATCAGCACAAGGCGGCCAACCTCAACCAGCTTCCACGAAGAGACCTTGACATCGATATCGGCCATGGCGAAATTCTGCGAGACGAAAAATTCAGCGTCGCGGTTCTGTAATATTTGTAGATTGCACACTCACGGTCGACAGGGGGGTATAAGTCGAGAAGGGGTTGTCGAAAGAGTTCAATTGTCCAAGAGTTGTCTCGAAATTCGGATGTGCCCACACTCGCAACATTCTCGCTTAACCGACCACTTGCAGGTCTAGGGCTCTGATTACCTCAGCAACCGCATTAACCATTATCCGATCCCATGCATTTATCTCGGTTTTTTTCGCCGCAGAACCTTTGTTGATCTCTTCAAGCTCCCCAGCTTTGCAAGCTTAAGACTTTGATGACAAGTCTGCATTTGCTTCAGTTTCGACAACTGCTCACATGTAGCATTTACTAAGGTATGCTCAATTCCTTTTTCCCCCAGTCATCTTCCCCTCTTTCCTCATATGATGTCGTAATTTGCGATTGACCCAGTGTCTGTGAGGCCCTCGCCGGGGCACTCTATACAGCACTGTCGGATGATATTCAATTTCTTACATATTCTGATATGGATTATAACCCTCATGTTATGCTGTCAATGCTTCTGAGAGACATCGCTCTGACAGTTTGAAGATTTTTAGGATATCGACTTGGTCCTTAAGGACAACATCGCAGCTCTCCATCTTTTCGCAGGGTACGTTCAGATCATCCCCTCCTCAACACCCCCAAGGTCCGATGATTAGAAACTTTTATCACGCCTAGATAGTAATTGAGCTTCTGGCTGTGAAATTACCTTAACTACCAAGATCTCTGAGAACCTTATCACCTTGCACATTATTGCTTGTTATGTTGGTTGTGACTCGTCGCTAACCTTCAAAAGAGTATAGGATACCCTGTGTCAGATTGGTAGCTCGCTGTCTTTATATAGCCACTGAAATGCAACCTATTCTAGAAAGAACTTCTCTCCTTCTGTAGCTTAGATTTGTACTCCTGTGCCTCCACTCGACCTAGCCTAATCATCTTAATCCAGTTGTATTGTACGTCTACAGACATATTGGTACAAATGCGAATATTTTTTGATTACAATAAGTCGTGCTATATCGTTACCTCGGCCGTGCAATGCCCAAAGACCCAGAGCAAGCCACTTGTCCCTTCATGCTATGCCTTCCTACCAACCTAGTCTATCTCTCCCAAATAGAAAAGAGCAAATCTTCCTTGCTCCTCTGCGTACATAATTATGACGATGCGGAGCCGGCAGATGCCGCGGAGGACGGTCCTTCGCGACTGAGCACCCACATGAAAACGAACTGAACCGCGTAGGAGTATACGAACAAGAACTGACCGCGTCGGTTGCGCTGCGACCGAGCCACGGCCTGCATCGAACCGGCATGCATGGCGGAGTCGGTCGAATCTGGGAGCAACACGTATTTCAGCGAGCGAAGCTAGAGTTTAAATATTAGCAACTGCTGAGCACGCTGGAAAGCTATATAAATGTCGTCATCACTCACCAGGAAGAACGCATTGGCCAAAAATGTGTACGCGAACACCGTCCAGCCAACCCAGCCCCTAGTCCCTTGTCCGGGGTTGAAGATCTCAGACGCCACCATAGTGACGATGATTCCAACGAACTTGTAGCCCGAGTACGCCACCAGATCCAGCAGTTGTGAGTCATTGTTGATGCTCAAAATGTACGTCGCCAGCTTCAAGCATAGGATCTCGAAGGCAATGACTGCAATGGCCGTGGTGGTGATCGAACCCAGAAGCTCCGGGTGGAAATCACCCCGGAATCCAGCCAGTAACACCGACAGCAGAATATATGTGACCAGGGCCATGACGGGAATATACATGTCCGGCGAGTTCAGGTCGTCGCGAGGAGGCAGAAACATGGATGAGTATTGTTGCTGCATGATTTGACCATTTGGTCCAGAGGTTGGAGCCATCCGGGCTTGCTGTCGGGACCAGGGTTTGTGTCGCCAGGGGAAGAGGACAAGGATCAGCTTGTTCAGGACGTAGGAGTTGGAGACGTTAAAGTAGTGCTTGAGAGCGGGTATAGAGACATAGCGATTGAACTGTAGATTATCTCCAAGTTAGCTATAAGCAGTAAATAAAGATATGTCAACGGTCCTTACATTATTTTCCATGTACTCCTGCCCAGCCGCCATTGCGCTTTTGCCGACCTGGAAGCCCATCTGCGCCGTGGGATCGTTCATGAACCCACCGAATCCAGGAGCACCAGGGGCATAGCTTCCACTGCCACCCTGAGCTGGTGACGGTTGGTACGGGTTACCGCCATATCCAGCACTCGGGGGGTTGTTGGGGAGCTGGTGGTGGAGGTGAGCGCATCATAGGGACGGTCGAGACATGTTGCGGGACGGGGTGGTGAAGGGGCGGCGATTGCGCGGGTGGCGGAGCGAAAGAGCCCCGATACATAGTCAACTAGGTAGAAAAACGAAGATAAAAGGATAAGGAGCGTGGAATTCTGGCGAACGTGTCGTCCGGATCGTGTGACTGGGGTTTGGGGAAGAAGCGAGGTTGATAGCGGATGAAAGTGTTTATACGTGGCTGAAGATCCAATCCGCTTCCGAGCTCCCCAACTTCGCCCCGTTCCGCCACCAACAGTCACACCAGGCCCTTTTTTTTACCTCCCACATTGATTATCTGCTTCTCACATTCCAAAATCGATTATCGGAGATACTCAGAATGTTGGAGGCTTTTGAGATTTTGACGACCTCGGGCGTGGTGCTCTGGTCTAAGGCGTACGCTCCAGTGGGCGCACATGTCATCAACAGCCTGATCAACGACGTCTTTATTGAGGAGAAAGTTGTGCCACAGAATGCGACAGCTGGCGGAGTCTCGCCTGCGTATAAGAAGGAGAAATACACACTAAAATGGAAGAGAGTCAAGGAATTCGATTTGATCTTCGTGGTATGTCTGTCGCATGGGTATGCGCCTCGCTGCTTCGACTAACTCTGAGTTTATGCAGGCCGTCTACCAATCGCTACTCCACCTTGGCTGGATCGACAAACTTCTTGAGAACATTTCGACAATTTTCATCGATCTCTATAAGGACCAGGTGAAGGGAAACCGCGTGCGAATCCAGACCTATCGGTTCGATCAATACTTTGAACAGCAAGTTCGGGAGCTTGAAGACAATACTGGTGGCTTTGTAGAGGAACATGTGCCGGAGACAGGCGAAAAGAAAGACCCGCTTGTTTCGTCGGACAATGGTGGCCCCCCGCCGCCACCGGTGCCTGGCCTGGTGAAAGGTACGGAATGACAACTCCCGGTTTCAAGCGTGTGCTGACCATCCCAAAGCGCAGCCTAGGGCTGCGCTAGCCGGGGCGACCTCTGATGAGGGCACGCCACCAGCTACACCAGAAATTTCTAGATCTTCGACCCCTCAGGGTCATCTTCTTACCGCGAAAGCCGGACCTGGAGGTCGTGGTTCCCGACGGTCCCGCAAGGCTGCCAATTCGAGCGCCAACGCGTCGTCTGGCGATGAAGTCCGGAAGGGAAAGTCTGCCAAGACCCCTGTGAAGAAGATGCGCAGATGGGATGCCAGTGGGATGGCAGATGAGGATGATGGAGAGATCCTCGATTATTCTGCCCCCGAAAGAGAGGCTGCCGCTCCAGCGGTGGAGGCTGTCTCCGAGGATGATTGGGGTCGTCGAACTGGTAAAGGCCAATTCGTGCTGAAGGAGTTGGGCGAGGAAGTTCAATCCATCTTGGACCAAGCTGATGCGGAAAAGTCCAAGGGCACTGCTTCTTCGGGTGTGGTTGGCTCCGGGTTCAACGCAATTGGGGGCTTCTTCCGCAACATTGTGGGCGGAAAGGTTCTGACAGAATCTGATCTCGAGAAGCCTCTCAAGGCTATGGAAGACCACCTTTTGAAGAAGAACGTCGCCCGTGAAGCTGCTGTCCGCCTCTGTGAGGGAGTTAAACGTGAGATGATTGGGAAGAAGACTGGCAACTTCCAGAGTACTGATGCCGCATTGCATGTGGCTATGGAATCCTCGCTGCGGAAGATCCTGACGCCGACTTCTTCTTTGGATTTGCTCCGCGAGATCAACGCTGTAGTAGCTCCCACCACTAAGCAGCAGGCGCCTCGCCCATACGTCATGTCTATCGTTGGTGTCAACGGCGTTGGAAAGTCGACCAACCTGAGCAAGATCTGCTACTTCTTGCTTCAAAACAAGTACCGTGTTCTCATCGCAGCATGCGATACTTTCCGCTCGGGTGCCGTGGAGCAGCTGCGCGTGCATGCTGACCGCTTGAAGGAACTGAGCGTCCGCGAGAATGCAGGCGATGTGGAGATCTACCAGAAGGGCTATGGCAAGGATGCAGCCAATGTTGCCAAGGATGCGGTTGACTATGCTGCCGCGAATAAGTTTGATGTCGTCCTGATCGACACTGCCGGTCGTCGGCATAACGACCAGCGGCTGATGTCCTCGCTTGAGAAGTTCGCCAAGTTTGCTAACCCAGACAAGATTTTCATGGTTGGCGAGGCTCTGGTCGGCACGGACAGTGTCATGCAGGCCCGCAACTTTAACCAGGCATTTGGCACTGGCAGGAACTTGGACGGCTTCATTATCAGTAAATGTGACACCGTCGGTGACATGGTGGGCACACTGGTCAGCATGGTCCATGCTACGGGTATTCCCATAGTTTTCCTGGGCGTTGGACAACATTATGGAGATCTTCGAGGGCTCAGTGTTCCCTGGGCTGTTAGTCTGCTGATGAAGTAGGGACAACTTAGTTTGATATTTTCTTAATGTACACTTTATATGAATCCTTTGCTTGCTACAGTTGTTGCTTGTAGTCAGGTTGCGATAGTCTCTTATAATGGATCCCTTGTGAAATACAGAACCCCGTTTATCCAGTCACGCATATAATTCATTTCCCGCGCTAATTCAACATAACTAGATCCTTCATAGTCTTGTTGAGGTCGTTTGTGAATAGATGTGCTTTACTTGGATATGCTGTCCTGACCAGAGACCTGTTTGGCCTGACCTCGGCGGCCACCACTGAAATAAATAGCTACCTCTACCTAGTAGCTACCAGACTGCCAAATTCTGAGGTTTGTATTTACTGGTACTGTTGTCTCATTTTAGTACTCCAGCGGTATCTATCTCCCAATCTTGCCTCCACAATAGTACACGCTTCCTATCTATATGCAGTTCCTCCATGCATCCAGGACCATTGGACGATATCTTTAAACGATATCCTTAAACATCTGTTCCACATATTCATAATCATACCGTGATGATACCGACTTTTTCAGCAGCCACCCCCAGAAACTAAAATCGCCACACCACCCACCACCAGTCTAACCTAACCATATCTCCCTCCCTCCAACAATAGAGCAAAAAGAAAGCGAAGAAGCAAAAAGATGTGACCGACGCAGGGATCGAACCTGCAATCTCTTGATTCGTAGTCAAGCGCCTTGCCATTGGGCCAGCCGGCCTGCTTTATTGGAATATTCGGTCAGGTTTTTGATATATGGGGCAGCAGAGTTTTTAGGGCAGGGCCCCACTTTTAAATGTTCGCAACGGGGTTTTCATGCCGTGTTCAGAAGCCATTCTTTCCATCAACCATGGGTATATCGCATCAGTTTGAACAATTTTAGAGTAATTATAGCCAAACAAAGGTGATTAGCAAAAAATAAAGACCAAAATATGTGCCAAGGTGGGCGAAACAAGTGCAAAAAGAAATCTCTCCCTCGGGGAATCGAACCCCGGTCTCCCGCGCTTATCGGTGTTAATGACAAGCGGAAATCATCACCACTAGACCAAGGAAGATGTGATGGCTGAGTTACTGCTCGGCCACTTGGCTGGTTGATGGAATGTTGAGCATGTTGTGGCTCTATACGGGATGGGAAAGAACTTGGACACTTGGGGACGCTTCATTCCGATACTTATCCCAAATCTTGGTGATACAGCGTTTTTCCCTTTCCATGTCCTATTCTTTTTGCTAAAAGTGTCTCTCATACTTAAAATTAGACAGTCTCAACCGCTAGCACGGCCGTGTAGGCATTGAAGACATTGGCGAGCAGTATGAATATTGTGAATATACTTGAACAACAATGCCTTTGAAGAATATCCGAATAATGCCATGGCAGCCGTCAATAATCGGACAACATTCGAAACGTGTCAATGACTTGGGCCCAATCCGAGCCTTCTTCCGAAGACATCGCTAGAGATATAGACGCGAGTAAGATGTTAACGATATATATATATATATATGTAGCAGGATATACCGGATCTCAGTTTATCTCAGCTGTAACGACGCTGGATGTGGACATTATGACATTCCAATAGTTTGCGTGAAGGTATGTAGCTACCTAGGAAGTTTTGATTCAATCTAACTAAGCCGGTTACAGTTGTCTAAAAGCTTCAAGGAAGGGAGGGAGTTGGCAGGATCGTGCGTAAATAAAAGAAGTACTGTTGGAATGTTACTGCATCCCAGGATTGAATCTTGGGAAGAGGTAAAACGTAGTGGTTGAACGACAATGCATTTTACACCAAGTCATTGGCGCAGAGAAATGCCATAATCTGCCCTTAAATATAAATATCGAAGATCCTCTATCACGGACTTACATGTTTTCACATGATTGTACTAGTAAAACTATTTATCCTAACACCCTCTCCCTCACCTCCTCTCGTAATAACTTGAAGTTCATATCCAACACTACCTACATACAGATGGGCCCGATCCTATGTTCGCTGCCTTAATATAATTGTTGAGTTTCATTTTCGACTAGTCAATCGCATGCCCACGCCTCCCGTTTTGTCTGCATCATATATGCCGTCCATGATCAAAGTCATTTTTGGAACACTATTGTTCAGCAGTTTATCCAATCTCTGCTCAACTTCTCTTGGCTTCTCCCCAATGAGCGGCACAGCATCTATGCGGTGGCGCTGCAGCAGTTTTAACATGACCGCGACAAACTCAACCTGGCCCATCTTTTGTCCTGGACAGACACGCGGTCCATGACCCCAGGGAAGGAAACACCCCTTTGGCGGTTGATATATAGGGCGTGCAGACCCAAGGGGATTGATCCAGCGAGAAGGGCGGAAAGTGGACTCGTCAGGGAGTTCATTGTTATCGGTATGGACCCATGATGGGTCAGAGGACCGGTTAACATCGGGCCACACGTCTGGATCAAGATGCAGTGCGATGTGATTTATAATCACGGACGACTTGGCTGGAAGGGAAATCATGCCCTCGGATGTCATCAACTCTTGAGGTGTCTCGTTTGTTCTAAGGACGTGAACAACAGGAGTGTACAGACGCAATGTTTCTAGCATAACTGCCATGATACGCGTTGCCCTTGGAAAGACAGAGGAATACTCTGGAGCTTCTGACACGTCTGTAGGCATCAAGAAATCAACCTCGTCGAATAGCCATTCCTGCCATCTCGGATACCTTGCAAGCAAAACTATGGCATAGGAGAGGGTGTTTGCTGTTGTTTCAAACCCCGCTGCCGTGAAAAGTAAGAGGTTGCCATTCAACTCTTCTTTGCTAAGGGATTTTGCCTCATTATCTTGCTCCTCTGTTGCTTGAAGCAACTGGCTCATAATATTGCTTTGTCCTGATGAGGTCTTCTTGTTCCAAATGCGTTGACGCTCTTGGTTGAGAAGGATTTCTGTGTGCATAGGGAACTCGCGTTTGGCAATGCCTAGCTGCTTCAACTTCCGGTACCCGGGGAGCCAGGACGGCCAATTTAAAAGTATGTCAGTTGGGATAATTATCGGCCCAGTGACAGATTCCATGACAACTTTGCAGGCTTCAATATATGTCATCTTGAAACCCGACCTAGGTCTCTCGGCGTCTTTGCTCTTCCATGGGGCCTTTACACCCATACCAGCCTCACTTAGTACATGGATAGTGATTTGCTTAATCATATCGAACATTACTGTCGACTCAGCAGAGCCTTTTTCTCTGTCGGACCCAATGAAAAGAAGCTCATCTAGCATGCCCGTGGTCTGACATACGGTTGAATCGAAGATGGTCTTAGAGATGCGCTCGTTGATTACGCTTGCAACAACCTTGCGCTGCTTCGCCCATCTCTCTCCATTCGTTGTGAGAACATTATGTCCAAACTGACCTAGGAGCAGTCCAGTAAGCGGTGGCATTTTGAAATCATTTGTTCGTTGCAGCACCTCAGTAGCGACGATTGGGTCGGCGGTGTGGAGCTCTAGAGGCCCGCAACTGGCAACCAAGAACGATTTTTGATTTCCTTGGGGGGCCGCATATTCCTCGAAGGGGCGGCGCTTCTCGTAGAATTCCCAGCCATAGATCGTCAGCGTGAGACGTTTCCATATCTGCGCTGGAAGAATGCGCTTCAACCATGGCCGCAAAGGGACGGACGTCAATAGCCAGATGATGTTGCTTGGATCTATTGGATACACTAAGAAAGGTAGGCCGATGGATTTGGCGGCGTTGACGTTGCGAAATAGCCGGTACGCGAAGTTTGTGAGGTACAGTACCACAAGCGCGCCGACAATTCCAACTCCAAACGACATTTTCTCGTTGGGTTGGGATGACAGATTCCAGGTCAGTGCGCTAGCGTAGACGGTGCAAGGTAATAACCAATTTGCGCTAACAGAAGGTCTTCGAGGCGAAGGAAGAAATTATAGCTGATTGGTAAACATAAGCCAGGTCCAAGTACAGTCAGATTACCGGAGTATGCCGTTAAAAGGAATACTTTACCTAGGTACGTTTGACGATATCCGCAATTCTGTACATGTGAAGCCCTGGAAATGATATGTAATGAGTTGTATTTCCGGTAATGGACTGCTATTGGACACGGCCCCTGGTGGAGTGGGTCTTACAGTATTTTTCACATCTGACTTTTCCCCAGGTGGGTCCATATGCGGACCGGCCCCATCCACCTCGATCCGCAATGTAACGTCGGGCCCCACCCAAAACTAACTCAACACATTCGGAAAAACAGGTCAAATCGCTAAGTACGGAGTAAAGTAACATTGTATCATAATAAGCAGAAGACAGACCTCCAGGGCTGTTAGCCTAACAGAGGGGCTATCAGATTGCCTATTTGGGCGCTTTAAGACATTCCTAGTCTTCCAGAATTATAGCGATCGACCATGGTAGCATTTCTGCTTGAAATGGGAAGCGTGTTTCAACGTTCTTCAACCAATTCTAGCAGGGTTCAGTATCTTCCCGAAGGCCGACATGACGTGGTACGGATCTCTTTGCCTTTCTAGTTCTACTATCCCGGCGCCTGAAGCGCTGGACTTTATGCAGGACGAATTGAGCCAACCTTCCATAAAGACTCCGTTTTCTACCACCCAGGCCTCACGTTATCAAAATTAAGCTGCACTGCTCGAATTCCTTCGCGACGTCTCACAATGAACCTGGGATCTCGACTTAGAGCCGCCAGCCCCAACATAGTATCCTTTCGCGCGGGAAGGATCCCTCGCCCGAGAGCCTCGCCAGGTGTCGGCGTAAAGTTGAAGGCCAGGAGAGCCTTGGCCAATATTCCAAGTGTCAAATTCATACCAAGGTACCGCCCGGGGCACTGGTGCATGCCAGGGAGGCCGAAGACGTTGAGATGCTTGACAAGGTCTTGTCTAACTTCTCCATCCTTTTGGAGAAACCGACTGGGCCGGAATATCTCTGCGTCTTTTCCCCATATGTCTATGTTGAAATTGTGCAGATGAATTGGAGTCATAATAATCGAGCCCTTCCTAAGCTGATATTTGTTGTGGAAGACGCTATCCTCATGCACGCCACGTGCAACGGGAGAATCACCATATGTACGCAAAAGCTCGTACCATGTTGCCACTAGAAGTGGACAGGAGCATCGAATTTGGTCAACATCAGTGACCGGGTTGGGGGATGAAGCATCAACAATGGCTTCAATCTCAGCCAGCAATGACACCAATAGCTCTGAATCAGCCACAATTTCACAGAATGCCCATGTTATTATGTTAATGACATTGGACATCAGTCCGACAATTGCGACCAAATGGCAGTCGGTAAAACCCTCTCGAGGAATCTCGAGGGATTCGTAGAGAAAATCGAGCCGCTCAAAGAGCGTCACTCCCTGCTTTTCTTTCCTTCCGTAATTCCCATTTTCAACACATTGCTCGATCTTCTGACGAACGACTTTCCGGGCTGAACGGAGCTCAAATGGTACCAGCCACGGAATTGGATTGCGCAAGGCCTCCAGATTTTGAATGAAAAGTCTGTAGACAGACAGTGATTTAGTTATGCGATTTGGCAAGAATTCCGGGGAGTTACCTACCTGAGGTGATTGCGAAATTTGGCATCTTCGAAGGGGCCGTCTTCCCCCAAAACATAGCGCCCATCGAGCGAGAAAGGAAATCGAAAATCCAGGATCCAAGACCAATTTCAACTTCTGAATCGCATTCTGGAAAGGTCTCACACCAGTACGTCTCGATCGTTTGGTCCATCAGAGATGCATAATTCCGAAGACTCTGTAAGTTCCGAAGCTCGCCGTTAAACAACTTGGATAATTCCCGCTTGAAATCACCAGTATCGGGATCGGTAAGGAATTTCTGGCTTGCGGGTACAAGGCCCATAGCGGGCCCAACAGCAACATGGAAAACAGACATCAGGCTTAAATGGCGCATTCCCGAAAATTGTTTGATGCTAGCCGCGTCCAGCGGGTGAATCAAGTGCATGTCCATTCCAGGGAGTTTCAGAGTTTCCATCGACGAGCGTTGGGTCGAACTGAGAAACTTTCGTATAAGCCAAGTATATGATATATCGGAGGGGAAGATTGAGATACCATAGTGATGAGATGTACAAGTTAGAGCCTTTAGTTGCAATCCCAAAGATGTGACCAACGAAGGGAATCCAAGAGAAATGAACAGGCGGACATGAATAAGTGCTCGTCTTTGCCTTTGATGAGAGCCTATGACTTATTACAGCGTAAGCAAGCCATGCAAATAGCAAAGCCAACACAAGAATCTGAAGCATCATGCTCATGTAATTGTCGTGGGTTGCTCCGCAGGATGCTGGTTTTTCAATTGCACTTCATCCATAATCTGTCCTTTTGCTTACCGGGGAGAAGCGAAAAGTCCCGCTAGGTTACCTTGATACGAACAAGACAGCTGAGGTATTTTTTTGGGAGGGCTGTATCTTTTCCATTGCTCGAGACCTCGGGACGGCTCGGTGATTATGCCCAGGTGTTGTAGGAATCACACGTAAGCCGCTGTGTGGATGCCCGACTTTACGGTAGGATAATATAATAATGGGCGTGAGGGTGGTGAATGATATGCTAATTGGACTAAATGTGGATTTCTGACAGGAGGGACCCGCTATCTGGACTTTTTGATTCTTAACTAGGTCCGTTTGGCAAGGCTGACATGTGTGAGATCTGGTGAAAGACTATTCTAGACGCTCTCTGGCTAGAAGTAGACTCCATCACATGTATACATGTTATCTACGGATATCGGAAGAAATGACGGTTTATACGCTCTTTAGCCCCATTTGGCCCGAACGAAGCCGTTAGTTTGTAGTCGACCCCCCATGTACGGAGTAATAGTTTGAATTAAAGCATGCTAGGTTTGATGAAGTTTCAAGCGTACGGAATTTGACGAATTTTTGCTGAAGTCGAAACCGACCTTTCGAAATTACACCATCTCTAATGAGCGCTAGACGTTATACAGTATTTAACAGCGAATTGAATATGCAAGTTACTATCTGATTCTACAGCTAAATCAGGCTTACCTTCCATGAATACGAAAGCTTTGGTCTGACTGCGCCATATTATTTTTGACAGGACAGTATACGGCCCCCATGTAACAGCCATGGCAATGCCCCTCCAGCCCGCCTTGGATGGAAGTGTCAGAGGTTTTGCTTGAGATTTGGCGTCTTGAACGTTTGCCTGCCAGATTGAAGATTAAATATCTGCTTATTTCTCCATCCTCTTGGACTGGCTTACACTGTACAAATCCTAACAACCACCATGGCGTTTGCACTACTCTGCCTATCATTATTGACAACTATGACGCTTTATGAGTTGTCTCGCATTGTCTATAATCTTTTCTTCCATCCATTACGAAGATTCCCTGGGCCATGGATGGCTGGAGCCACCTCAAGTTGGAAAGCATATAAGGAAGTTATCAAACAGGAGACATTGGCTCAAGAGCTCTTTGTTCTGCATGAGAGATATGGTGAGATAAGCTTGGGACATACATTGAAGATTGCCTTTTAACATAAATTCCACCAGGTGACATTGTGCGTATCGCGCCGAACGAGGTAATTTGTCTCTATACCCCAGACCTATGAGTCTACACTTCCCCTATGAAATTTCAGTATCCTTAACATCGGTCTTTGCAAAGCTTCATTTCGGAAGTCCATCCGCATTCCATGATATCTACAACGGTAGCAAAAGATGGGACAAAGATCCGGGCCTCTACCGAACCCCCGGGGTCACAACCGGATCCTTTGTGTTTTTGAAATATGCCCAAGCGAAAGAACGACGGGATGTTCTTCTTCCCATCTTTTCCAAGAAAGCAATCAATAGCCTGGAGCATCTTGTTTGGCGAAACGTAAGTAGGGTGTTGCGTCTATGAATGTCCTTAGGAGTATTGATGCTAATCTTTCATCCCGTCAAATTATAGGCAACTCGCCTCGCATCCTCTATCACTAAAGCCAACGCAACTAAAAGCTCTATTGATCTCCTTTATGCCTTCCGATCCTATACTCTTGACACTATCATGTGCTTCACATTTGGCAACTGTGTGAATGCGATCGATGCGCCAGCGTTCAGTGACCCTTTGATCTTAGCTATGGACGCTAGCCTTCGCATGTTGCCACTTCTGAAAAACTTCCCGTTGATCCGGGATCTGGTTTTCGCCGTACCTCCGGCTCTAGTTATGCGCCTCGTTCCAAATGCTAAGAAGCTGGCGCCGCGCCTCTATCAAGTCCGCGATCTCATCCAGCAACAACTGCAGGTTGTGCTAAACTGTCCTTCGAAGCTTGATGAAGTGCCCCACCAGACTCTATTTCACCGTATGCTCGACCCTCAAGCCTACCGGAGGAAGGAGGTACCGGACCTGACAGCCCTACACGACGAAGGTTTCACCCTTATCTTTGCGGGTGCAAACACAGTGGCAGACACGCTACTCATGGGCCACTGGCATACCATGCAGAACCCAACCCTCCTAAAAAGACTGAGAAGTGAAATAATTACTATTTGGCCGGACCTGGAGAAGCAGCCCTCGCTAAATGATCTCGAGGCCCTTCCACTACTCACGGCAACCATCAAGGAATCTCTGCGTTTCATCCCATCGGGTGTATCATTAACGCGTGTCGTTCCTCCAGGAGGTGCCATGATATCGGGCCAGATGATCCCGGGGGGCACCACAGTCGGAATGGCGATCTTGCACGTGCATCAGTCCGCCGAAGTCTGGGGCAAGGATGCCCTCGATTTCCGACCGGAGCGGTGGCTGGAGGGGAGAGACCAGACCGATGCCGAGAATGAAACGGGTACCTCTAGATCTCAACACAAAAGCGACCTTGATCACTGGCTTGTGCCATTCAGTCGTGGCCCACGCATGTGTTTTGGCATGAACCTAGCCTGGGCAGAGATGTACATCGCTTTTGCGACCATGATCCGGCGCTTTGATATGACCATCGACGGAACGACGCCGGAAGATATGGAATGGCGAGAGTGCATTGCAGCCTATTATCCTAAGAGACACTTGCATGCGTGGTGCCGTCCGACCCAGACTTAGAAGACGAGATAGGGACACGGAGTTTGAGGCAGAAGAGCGACGTATACGTACTAGAATGAATAAAGTTTGATATTACTAGATATGCGTGGGTTATCAAGAGTCTTGGGATTTTATGTCAATTACATTCCAAAGTACTCGTATTCTCTCAATATATAGCTGCCATCTGCTATCACAAAAAGGGACGCTTGTGCAACCAGAGACAGATACAATGCCAGAGTATGCCCTGACAGGTAAACAAGTGTTATACATATATTTTTTCAAAACGATCGGAGTCATTGAACTGACATCTGTGGATAGGTGGCGAAACGAACGACTTCCCAAGAGCTCCGAAATTAGAGGGAAAAGAAGCGTTGGCCACTCTGCATGAACGGCACACCAACTAGATCACATACTCCAAATCTGTCAGTAATTTCCCACCATCTCGAACACCTATTTGAAACTTACAGGGATGAACAAGTAGGGTACTTCTTTCTCATAGCGCTTCCAGGCCTCGCCGTACTTTCTTCGGCATCGGTTGATATCCCTGTTGGTGCGGTGGATAATCATGACCATGAAGAAAATGAAATAGAACCAAAGGAATGGGCTCCTATTAGTAAGTAGTTAGTTATGTCAACCCATGACCTTTGTAGACAGGAAATCTTACTTGAAACCGGTAATCAGGCCCCATGACATAGAAAAGAACATGTCAGGTACATAGTTTGGCTTTCGAATGATTGCGAACCAGCCATCGACCATAATATGATCGCCTGTGTCTGTCTGGATTGTCTTGGGGTTCTCAATGGCTTGCCACGGCACTTGAGGGAACGTATTCCGCTTGATAAGCTGGCCCTTTTCCTTGTGACGGAAGGCGTTCTTCTGGCCATTCGCACTGTCCCACATCCAGTAGAAAAATACGTACAAGACAGAGAAAAATGCGAGGGCGTATCGGTTCCAGTGATACTCAGATGGGGGATGGTTGGCCAAGTAAAGCGCACAATGGCAATAAGTGAAAGGCACACCAGCCATATTCCAGAAGGTGAGCAGAAATCCAAGTTTTTCGAAATACATGTCCCTTTTCCAGCATCAGTTTAGCTGAAATATTAACGCAGGTATTCTCCTTGACTCACCAGCTTGTAATGATCATCTGTTCGGCTTTGGCACAAGCATTGGTATACAGGTAGTGCGCTCCGGCCAGGAAGACTACTTCGGCCGAGACATAGCCATATGTTTCGTACTGGCGAGCCGCCACGGAGCAGGTGATAAGGAACAGAATAAACCACGGGATTCTGACCTCGTAGAACATCTTGAAGTCCAAAATTCCAATACGGGGATTCAGTTCAGCACCCATGAAGAAATCATAAATGGGAGAACCCGATAGTCTGTGGGTTCGTCCACGCACTATAGCTTGGATGTAGACGATGAAGCTGTTCAGGAAGCCGGACAGAATAGAGACACTCATGATAGGACCAAATTCGTCAATCAGTGTGTACAAAGGAAACACGCCGGTAAAGTGCAAGGTGGCAGCAATGGCAAGCGTCGCGTAGAAGCTGCAATAAGCGGAGCAGTAGTAGGGAAGCCTCTTGCCGCCTTCGTGCCTCAGGGGCCGGCCGAAATTCAAAACTCCAGGCATATAGCAGTACATCAGTGCCTCCATGATGAAAAAGGTCCAGTAGATTGCCCATGCTTTGGCGGTGGGGTAGGCTCCCTCGTAAACCAGTTGGCAAAGGTGACGGCCAAAGTCAGCCCACGTCTGGTTGGACTCAGGCAAAGGAAGCATGCCATCATAGTAAGTTGCGCCAATCCACATATACCACATCAAGAGGGGAAAGCCTGTCATCAACAGTGTAGCGCCGACTGAGCCTCCAAACTCGAACTCGTCGGACGCGCCGTCTGTATATTTGGAGGCGGTCTTCGGTTCATTCTGCTTGACACCTTTGGCAGGTGGAGCAGCCGCCACGGGAATTCTCTGTGACACGGCCATTGCTAGCAATTGAGATGAGGAAGGATTCACAAATTCGTCGGAAAGATTACTTTCACGAGGGCCGATTCTTTTCAGGGGCATCATGTGACCTCGCGTGCAGGCACTTGAATGCAGGGATTGCTCAAAGCAACCTGCGAGGGTGTTTTAGGGTAATCTATCTTGGTAGTGAGAATTCACGAAACAATTCGTAGGCAGCAAAGCAATTACGGAGGACCCTATTTTGAGGCTGTATTTTCGAAGATCACCCAATTAAAACGGCAGGTACTACCATCACTGTGCTCCAGGGCTAGTGCAGGTTCATGGTCAGCAAGTACGGAGTAAATATTTTACACTAGTCTCACCAGTATTTAACTGTTACATTCGGTATTTGGCCCCCAGTCCCACAACTGCAACAGTATTACTGTAATAAAATAGAACTGGCCGATATGAAACTCCGTAACTCCGTGACTCCGTACTTCCACTCCGTACCTACAACATAGTTACTTGAAAGGATTTCACAAGCATTATAAGCCAAACGTGCCATATGTACGTTTAAGTATGACTTTATGAGTCAATTGAAAGGTGATAGTACCGTCACATGTGCTTTATAATGACATGACTAGGACCTCCCGTTATTCGATTCGACGAATCGCCGAGCCAGTTACAAAGGATAAAAGAGCTACAGGTAATTCATAAGAGCAATGGGTTTACCTTGCGCCTCGGATTTTCGAGTCTATTAGGGAACACTCAAGCTATCCCATTAGCAGATATCCACCTATTCTGGCGAATTGGCCTTAGTGATATAGAGGGTGCATCAGAGCATCTGCCGAAGCCTGAGAAAGAGAAACGGGACCAATTAAGGTAATATAATGGAGGGAAACCTATACATAAACGAAAGAGGCACTGTCAAAATGTACTATATTTGGAATGCTTGGACATACACGAAGGTTATATAAAAATAATAAGAGGATGAGGGTAGATATTTCAGATTAGACCAACGAAGCTCTCCGGGGCCCCGGGCGGGACCCCGGAGAGTTTCGATGATTATATAATACTCAGGGCTCACCTGGGCAGGGGTCCAGGGCTGCGTAGGCAGGTTTACTCGGTCAAAAAGCGGCGAGAGGTGAGCACTAAAATGGAAAGGGAAAACCAGCCTGAGCTCCGACATAGGTAATTATAGACTGCAATACTAATTTACTTACATCCCTTGAGTGAAGCTATAAGAGCCACCATTAGATGAACGCCACCTTATGCACCCAAACGGTGCATTCCATTGGCTAACTATATATTTTGATGACTTACAGCCAATCCTATAAATCACATCAGCATGATGCCTGCATAACCTATGTGCCTAGACGGGCCCACCGAAGCTGCGTATAAATGCACAAACCGTATTCCCTTGACTTATATCGCATGTTTTGTCATTTGACGTCCGTGAATATCCTATGATATTACCGATTCGGTCTCAACTATAGATCAATTTACCCTACATAGTTTACCTGGCTTGGAATAAGTTGAGCCTCGGCACCAAATTGTTACACAAGATCGACACATGCAAGGGCTATAAGTCTTCAACTGAATAAGGAACAAGCAAAACAAGCACCATGCAGATAAATCGAAATCAATAAATGTACTCCGTACCCGGACCACTGCGTAGGCTGGCTGGAACAAATTACTCAGCATGGGATCTGCAGCATCGCTTACATCATCATTGTGTTCCCTGATCCGGGTTGCGGTCTTTTCCAAGGTTACGGCCAACTTCAATCCTTCTAAGCTTTTTGACACATTTTGTTTCTCGATCATCTACTTAGACCTGCATTTACACATTTAATCTATTGACCGCGCGAGAATTCGACCAGCGCGGGTTGCAACCATACCACTAAGCTCTCACACGACAGCACTGCGTTTACAACCAGGCTTTCGGCTCAACCCCCAATCGCATGGTTAGTTGTGACAGGACTTCATTCAGCCTTGATTTTGCTGGTGTGTCGCCAGAATGACGGGTCCAGACCGGGCTTTGCTCAATCGCCGCTCCTCCACGCAGCATTACCAGACCTTCGATACTCCACCACCCAAGTCGCGTGGGCGACCTAACTCGGGCCAGTCCGAGTCCTCTGCGGACGGCTCACACGATCCCCATTATGACACCGCCGATACCCCCGGAACGTCATCGCCGCTGCCGAGGAGGCAAATGGCAGTGCTAGCGATAATCGCACTGGCGGAGCAAACGGCGTTGAACTCGATCAGTCCCTACCTCCCCGACATGGCATCGACATTCCCCGAAGTGGAACAGTCACAGGTGGGCGTATACGTGGGCAGCATTGCGTCGGCCTTTGCGCTGGCTCAATTCAGCACAAACTATTTCTGGGGCTGGCTTTCGGACCGTGTTGGTCGCAAGCCGGTAATTCTGCTTGGCACCTTTCTGACTGCGATGTGCTTCGTTGCATTCGGATTTTGTAAAACCCTTGCGCAGGCTATAGTTGTGCAGGCGTTGATGGGTGTGGTAAATGGCAACCAGGGTTTGGTGTCAACCTGCCTCGGAGAAATCACCGACCGAAGCAATCAGTCCCAGGCTTTTACCTATCTCCCGGTAATATACGGAATTGGAGGTATAACGGGACCACTCCTAGGAGGACTTATGGTCTTCAAGACGAACCCTTTTACTGGCAGCAAAAACCCATATCCCTATCTTGCGCCAAACGTACTGTCCGCTGTTGTCCTTCTGATGGACTTCGTTTTCACAGCTCTCTTGCTGGAAGAGAGCCTCGAAGATGCAGACAGTCTTCCAAAAATCGGCAAAAAGGTGCGCAGCTTGTTCACATGGCTGTGGCAGTTTACCGGTAATGCCCGCCACCCAACCTACGTGGAGGTCCCGTCAACAGTGCCGTACCCCCACGGCCGCCGCGATTTAGAGATCGATGAACACGACAGTGATCTAGACTCTGCGTCCGAGATGTCGAGCATACTTGGCCACCCAGAGGAGCTCACTTGGGGTGAGATCTTCACTCGAGACACACTCTTACTTCTTGTGACATACCTTATATTTGCTCTCTGCAATGTTTCCTTCAACTCGCTGTTCCCAATCTTCGCACAAGCTAAACCCCCGGCCGGTCGGTCACTCACCCCGTCCGAGATCGGCCTTGCTCAAGGGTTTGCTGGAATTGTGACGATCATTTTCCAAATCTGTATCTTCAACCGCCTGCGAGACAAGATGGGCAATCGATGGTCTTACCGCGCAGGCCTATTTGGCTTTGTCATCTCATTTATCCTACTGCCCTTCATTGGGTACAAGAGCAAGACTGGTAAGGGTTTGACTAGCAAGTCTGCCATCATGGCTGTCGAACTTTGTCTTGTGTTGCTGGTCAAGACCATCGCCTCTGTAGGTGGTCTGACCAGTGCTTTGCTTCTGGTAAGGAATTTGCGATATTCTCTTTTGTAAATCCAAAAAAAAAACTAATTATTTCTCCAGGTTACAAACTCGGCACCTAACCATGCCGTCCTTGGCGCCTTGAATGGCCTTGCACAAACTCTCTCCGCAGCTGGACGTGCAGTAGGCCCATTCCTCTCCGGAGGGCTGTTCTCCCTCACAGCCAAGATCCAGCCTAAAGGAGAGGCCCTGGCATTTGGAGTCTTTGCTGCGGTCTCCTTCATTGGCTTCATCCTGAGCTTCGGTATCCGCGGGCGTTCACTTGAAGCAGAGGGTTGGGGTGACAGTGATGATGGAGACAAGTCGGATGACGACGAGCCGTGTGGTGTTTGAAATAGACGGACTTACAAAATATGCCGACATGACGATTTGACGAGTTTATACTTTCGTTCCAGCTTTTTTTTTTTTGCATTTGGATATACATTAGCCCGTTCCTCAAGATAGATTATTGTGGTCGCATTATTTGCTGGGATAAAGATGGGTTCGATTCAACTTTGAGCCTGATAGATCTTTGTGGAGATGTTGCCATGACCCCAAGAAAGAATACTATTCAACCATTGGGATTTGCAGACACTGAAATGGATATAGATATATAGGGAATTATATCAAGCTAGGCCGAACTGTCTGGAATAGATATTTCCTATATAAAACATCGCAATTTATTCGCTAAAATGCTCAACAGATACTGACAACACGAGATAGCACAACTCGAGACTGGATAGAGACATAATACCAGACAATTCAGAGGGGTGGAGTGATGAAGTCAAAAGCAATCTATGAGAATGACCCAAATCCAAAGAAACCCAAATTTCAAAGATAAAACAGCAAGGGTATATAGCACATAATGGTCGTGGCAGTAAATCGTGGATAAGGGCATGAAGGAAATGGGATGCAGGCCAAGAAACAACAAAAAAGCAAAGCAATTGAAACACTATCAAGCCCAGCGCCAGCCCAACTCTTGTGACTTTTGACGCTTGATAACATCTGACAGCAGGGTATTGCCTTGACCAAAGGGGTTGCGCTCATTCTGCATCCGCTGACGCTGAAGCAACTCCACAGCAGCAGTAGCATCAATCCCTTCACCAGTATCCGTAATCTTAAGAGCCCACTTAGCATCTTGCGAACTAAAGCCAAGTTCATTCACCATCATATCAATGGCGCGGTCAACAGGGTCCAGGACCTGCGGTCGCAGAGGAGGAATATATGACGAAGCAAAGGCAGTGGCAGGGTCAGACGAGTGAGTCGGAGTACGAGGAGCCGTCCTAGCAGTTGAAGTCGAGCACCTGTCAAGGACGAGCGCAGGCACAGATGGCACAGATTGAATGGGCCGGTGACCTCGAATCGACCCGTTGAGATTATGGACAATAGTGCTGAACTCAGACATAGGGCGTTCGGTAGAGAAGGATAACCGGCCTGCGGGGTCAGGGTCGAAACCGCGTTCACGGCGGCAACGAAGCTCGTGGGCGAATCCGGCTTGGCGTTCTCGGATCTCGCGGTCGTTTTCGATCGGGCTTGATCTTTGCGGGCTGATATCGGTCGGGCTGTCAAGTGCGCGTTCTTCGAGCTCGTAGGCACGCGAGACTGCTTCTTTCAGGAACGATGATCGACTTGCTTCGGTTTCGGTTGGTTCCCATTTGGCGAGACCGAGGGACTTCGCTTTGGTAAATGTGGCGGCAGT